TTTTTTATTTTTAGGTTTATGACTACTACCACCAGTATTATTTTCTGGTGCTGGAATTGAACCCAGGGGCTTTGCAACCAACTACATCCCCAGCTCTCATTTTTGTTTTTTATACCTTGAGGCAAGGTCTTACTAAATTGCTGTGCTGCCCAGGCTGGGCTCAGACTTGCAGTCCTCCTGCCTCAGCGTCCCAGAGTGCTGGGATTAAAGGTGCATGTTACCATCCCTGCTGTTTCCTGTAGTTTTGATTTTAAATCTGTAGTAGCCAGGCGCTGTGGCAGACTCCTGTCATCGCAGCAGCACTGAGGGAGGCCGAGTGGGGAGGACAGCCAGTTCAAGTACTGTCTGGGAAATTAAGTGAAGCCCTGTCTCAAAATTAAAAATGGAAAAGGTTGGGGATGCAGCTCAGTGGTTAAACAACCCTAAGTGTGGTCTCCAGTACCACCCACACACATACGCATGCATGTGCGCACACACATGCACACAATCTACTAAGGAAGCTTCACGTGATGGGCGATGACTTCCTCCTCCCCACTAATCCCTCCCTGCCCAGCATGTGCTGTCCCCCACGCCCCGTCCCCAGTGTAGCAGGCCCCTCCCTCTCCAGAGGTCCCTCCAGACAACCTTGTCTGAGTAGACGTGAGCCCTGGTGCCACCTGAAGCCATCTCCATCACTGGTTTGCAGGCTTCTGTCTGTCTGCCCTCAGCGTGCCAGGGTCTGCAGGGCCAGGAACTCTGGCCTGTTGGCCCCATTGTCTCAGCTCACAGAAGAGCGCCTAACCCAGGACGGTGCCCAGCATGCCCTGCTCCAAAGTGGGAGATTCCCATGAGAAACGCTCAGTGCGCTGGCCCCAAGCTGGTGCTCAGAAAACACCAGTCTCTTTCCTCACTGCAAATTAGTGAGCTGAATTAATTTGCTTTCCTGATCCGCAAATATCATACGCGTATCTTTTTGGATGTAGAAGATATTACATAGTATGATTCTAAAATACAGAGTATAGCTCCAGGTAAAGCTCCTAAAGGTTACTTGCTTAGCATTTTGAGGCCCGGGTTCAATCACCTATACTAAATAACAAATAAAAATAAAAGCTAGATATGGTGGCACACATGCTTGCAATTCCAGAATTTGGGAGGCTGAGGCAGGAGGATCACCATGAGGTTGAGGCCAACCTGACCACACAGTGAGTTCAGGGCTAGTCTGAAATGCATAGCAAGATCCCATCTCAATCGAACAAACAAATAAAACAAAATAACAAAAAATTATTAAAACCAAAAGAAATTAAAATTCATATAACAATATGTAGGATATTTTGTCCTTTTTTTTTTTGTGAGACAGGTTTCACTATGTAGTTCAGGCTGGCCTTGAACTCACTATATAGCCCTCTCAACAATCTTCCTGCCCCAGCCTCTGAGTGCTGGGATTACAAGCATGAGTCATGAGACCAGGCACATTTGCATGTGCTCCACACAATGTGAATCTCAATTTCTTCTGAACTTTCTTTTTTTTTTTTCTTTTTGAGGTGTGTGTGTGTGTGTGTGTGTGTGTGTGTGTGAGTGTGTGTGTGTGCCTCAGTATGTAGTTCAGGCTGGCCTCGAGCTCACTTTGTAGCTCAGGGTGGTCTTAAACTCTCAAGGATCCTCCTGCCTCAGCCTCCCAAGTGTTAGGTTTACAGGCATGAGCCACCATACCCCGCCTGAGCCTTCTTTTACATATATGATCATGCAAAATCTCCTGGGCCTCCTCTCTTACTGCACACATGCAAGGACAGTTTCCAAGGGCAGCTTCTCAGCCCCATCCTAGTGAACCACCCCCCTCAGATTAATGAGTTCTGCTGAGCCAAGTACCTCCCAGAAAAGCTTTTCTATCGTATAAATTGCCAGAGTAGCAGACAGATGGTTGAAGGAAGTGTTTCCACTTTAGGAAATCTGCTGTTTTGAGAAGGAGGAGAACAGTACACAGTGTCAACTCCAAGCAGGAGAGGTGAAGCCCTCACGGTTACAGAAGCCCGGGTCCCTGCCTGCAGCTGAGTCGTTAGATGAGGTGTGGGACATGGTGTGCACATGACAGTACTCAGGACAGGGAAATGGGCAAAGCAACACCAACTTGGTGGCTTTGCTTTCATCTGCATCACTCTGACAAGCAGTGCTGTAATGTACAGCAGCAGGAAACACAGCACTGTGTGGCCGATCAGCAGAAATGACGGCACTGCACTGGGGAAGAAGCCAGCACAGGGCTCCACTACCACCTACGTCCCACATCCTGGGTGCTGATGTGGGTGTTAAGTCTGAGCCACGGGTCTGAAGTCGGAACAGCTGTTAATCAGGTAAATTTTTAAAACTTTTTAAGAATAACTGTGCACACTTATTCTCAGGGGAAAGAGCACTCTGTGATGAATTTTCTGTGCGTGTGTTGCTGAGGACGGAACCCTGTGCCTTCCACACACATCGCAAGCACTGAACCACTGAGCTACATCCCAGGCCTGTTTATTTATTTATTTGGAGGCAGGGTCTCAGTGAGTTGCTCAGGCTGCCCTTGAACTTGGGATCCTCTTGGCCAGTCGCTGGGATTACAGTGTGTGACACTGCCAAGCACTGTGACCCTCCTCTTCCTGCTCCTCCTGCTCCTCCTGCTCCTCCTGCTCCTCTCCTGCTCCTCCTCCACTTCCTCTTTCTCCTCTCCCTCCTCTTTCTGCTCTTCTTCCTCTTTTCTTCCTTCTTATTTTCCTGCTCCTTCTTTCCTCTTCATTTCTAAGATACTGACTTTGAGTGGCTTTGATGACTCACTCTTTAGCTTTCTACTGTGGGCGTCTTACCTCTGATTTGTGTAGGACTGCTAGCAGCCATCCAGTTAGTGTTCTTGGCTGGCTAGTGTTACCATGGAATCTTTCCCCTCAGTGTGAGCTTATATCTGAATATTGCTATATTTATTCTACAAAATACATCATCAATTAGGTACTATCTGGGGACTTATTTATTGTGAAGTAGCATTCTCCAATTTCTTTTAAACCAAATGCCATCTCTTTATGTTGCTCTGTTACAGAAAGAAAACAACACTATCCCATCTTCTCTTCAGATAGCTTATTCACTTACACTTAAATAAGGGTCTGAACACATGTTGGGGAATGCATTAAGTGGGGAGTATGCAGGAGCGTTTCTATTAGAGGCAAATCTCCCCAGGCTCAAATCATAGGCAAGCATTTTTCTCTAATTTTTAAGCCAATGAGTGAATTAACATTTTATAGGGCAATGTTGCTCTCAGTTTAGAGTATGATTAATTAGTTCTGCATTTAGCTGTAATGTCTTCATAACTGAATACAAAACAAGGATAGTTAAACTATATTAATCATGAAAAGGTCTTCATTTATTATTGGATTTGATAACATATATTATGGAAATAACCTTGTACCAGCATTTGAAGTCTAGAGGATGACCAATTATTGTTTAAATGTCTTTGACAGTATAGCTCACAGTTTTGCAAAGGTATTCAAGAAACAAACTGTGTGTGTGTGTGTGTGTGTGTGTGTGTGTGTGTTTACGTGTGTATGCATGGGTGTCTGTAATTATCCAGTGGTCTTTTGAAAGCCAAATATCTTTCACATTCAAGCTCTTTTTAGATTCTTTTGCAGGATGCAGCATCTCAGCTCTGAGAGTGCAGGCTTCCTGCTGATCACTGGTTTTGAAAAACAGGCCAAAAATGTATTTTCTCCTTTAGAACGTTGAAAGCTGAGGTCCTTCACATCAGCTTTGCCAAGCGCTTGGTATTTGTCTTATTTGTGTCAGGCCCTAGAGGGGAGTGTGATGTCATAATCGTTCAGGGTTCTGGCCTGAGAACCTGCAGGTCTAGTGTTTCACACGATTTCCAGCACAGGACTTTGGTTCTTTTATAAGGGACAGTAATATTCAGGTGACTTGATTTGCATAGCTTATTGTTATTTTAAATGGTATATGCTCATTGATTTTAGAAAAAGAAAGTTATGTAATATGGAAAGCAACAAAGATTATATCACTTATAATCAATTACAGTAGGGACTGCTGCCATTGAGGGAATCTTTTTCAGTTTCTCTCTCATTCTCTCTGTACTTACAGAAAAATACACATAATTTTAAACAGTACATGGAACAATACTCTATTTGGTGTGGCTAGAATAGTATTGTAGTCTGAGCAGAAATCCTGGCCCTTGATGGTAAACAGGGTGGTTACAAGGACAGCGCATCCTAGTGCCTAGGCCTGAATTTCTCTAATTCTACGTGATTGTGGGTAAGTGACTGAACCTCTCTGTGTACCTCAGTTTCTTCATGTGCAATAGCATTGCCTGCCCATCAGAGTTGGTGTAATGTTACATCAGATCATAGCTCTACATACCTGAGATAATACACAGGGCATAGAAACTGGGTACTACATTTGACTATTTTTAACTTAATAGCAACGTGAAAAAAGTTCAAATATTAAAGGGGAATATTTCCTCATACACTTTTCATCATATTTCATAACCAGAGTTTTAACATAACAGTAGTTATAACCAGAGTTTTGACATAAATTATTACTGTTTCTATATACAGCTATGTATATACTTTGCCTATACACAATTTGAAGCTAGAATTTGCATTTAGCAATACTTTGTGCTTGTTGGCTGATGTATCTGAAGACTGACACAGACATTAGCCGCCTTTCTGTGAAGGCCTGCTGAGTACCATGGTGTGGGCTGGCCTGAAGATTCACACCTGTAACCCCAGCATTCTGGGAGGCTGAGGCAGCCCTGTGACTTAGGGGACCCTGTTTCAAAACTTAAAACGTTTAAAAAGGGCTGGCAGTGTAGCTCACTGCAAAGGTTGTGGGTTCAATTCCCAGTACCCCAAAAATCAACATATAAAAGAACCGCCCGGTGGAATGTAAGATGCCTTTAAACCACGACGCAGCTTTACACAGGCTGCCTTTGTGAGCCATTAGTCCAACTCCAAATCCCTGTTAATTATTAAACCTTTATGTACTGTCTGTATACCTGACACTGGGATCGGGAACAGAGTGTGTTGTTTCTCAAGCCTGAAAATTGTTAGAGAAATGTAGTTATCAAGAGTTAAAAACTCCAAACCCTTTTCTTTTGACTTAGTGAAGAAAGTGGAATGTCTGCTGTTTGGCCGTCAAGTCTCCAGTGTGAGCAGCTGATGTGGCTCCCTCGGGATTCTAGCTGCGTGTCTTAGCATGGCGGAGATTGGCCTTCGCGGGGTCCTCCTTCTGTTTATTTCTCTGACTAAGTACCTGGAAGGTGCAAAGCTGCTAGCAGGCCTTAAAAAATGTGGTGATCTGGAATGTGAAAGTAAGTTTGCCTTTTTCCCCCTAGTTCTTCTCAAAGTAGAGGCTCAAAATAGAGATGTAAAATGTTATTATGGAGATGCATGATAAAAAATGAAGATTCATGTTACTGAGAAATATTTAATTGTAAAGTATACTCTGTATAAGAAAGTAACTCTGGAAGTGAACCAGCTGGTGATGGTATTTAATGTAAATATACCAAGATGAGATCAGATTGATATAAAAATGTATTATAAGTTATGATATTAATGCATACCTCACAAGTGAAAGGGTCTTTTTACTATTTTCTAAAAGATAATTGCAGATATGTGTAACCAGGCCACTTGACAGTTATTTATCATGTGCTTTTTAATTTTTATTTCCTAATCAAGACTTCTGATTGTTATTTTTCATAAATGGTTTTTATTTGAAAGCATATATTCTGTAAACTTTACCAAATATTAATATTTCTATGTTCATTTATTAGGTAAAAAGTGAAATTGGAGTTAAGATATAAGTATATTTTTATAACATTGACTAAAAATTCTTTGATTTATTATGATGAAAAAATAATTTCCATTTTAATAATTAAGAACTTTATTATTTTGTTACTAGCATTATGATATAAATAACTACATCTCTTTATACTGGAGTTTCTATACATGAATTTTGCTTTTTCCATATGTGTATTATTTCTAATTTATCAAAATATAAATTTAAAATGCAAAATCTTATTAGTATAGACATACAGAATTTATGAATAACATTTTATATGTAAACACTTTTCTTAAACTTTTAAGTAGGTAATCTAATATGTACAGAAGTTTATTAGGTGGTATTTCATAAAAATAATCCTTTCTGTCTTTACATGCTAACCCCATTTTAGTATCTTTCAGGGCCTGACAGAATATGAAAGAGAACATTCTGAGTTATAGCAATTTATGAGGCTATTTTAGCTTTAATTTGTGACTTAATCAAAATGCGTTTAAAATTGCACACGTTAGTGTCGCTGAGGTCCTAAACGGGACGTGTCCCTTACTCTGTGAGCCGAAGGGCTAACCTGGCCTCCTGGGGACGGTTCCCGAGGGCCTGCGTCTGTGGGTCTAAGGAGTGTCTGTCTAAGTGCTGTCTATCTAAGATCAACCAACTAAGACGCAGATAGTCATTTTTACCCCTCAGGGACTTTCGTTCCACTTAGTGGTGAGAAGAGGTCACCGCAGCTGTGAGCAATGGCCAGGGGAGTAGCAGATGCAGTAAGACAGGGGCTCAGGGGCTGAGGGTTTGGCTCAGCGGCATAAGCACTTGCCTTGCAAGCAGGCGGTCTTGAGTTCGATCCCCGGAACCGACAAAAATGAAAAAGACAAAAAAAAAAAAAGGACAGGGGCTCAGGGACGGGGCAGTAGGAGTGGGCTGGGGTGGCAGGAGGACGGGGTGGGTGAGGTAGAAGAGACTGGGGCTCAGGAAAGAGCAGAAGTGGAAGCCCAGAGTAAGGAGGCAGAAAGTTGTGGGTGAGCACAGGTCTCTAACCCTTGGTGGAAAGCTGATTTATTAGAATGAGAAGAGATGATTTACCTTAGAGATCTGTTTGGAGGCGTTAATGACCCAAGGATATGAAAATGCTTAACAAATTACCTTTTCCTTTCCTGTGGACAAGAGGATGGTAATGACACACAGCAGGGTCAATAATTCTATAAGTTTCACCACAGCCCTGGGTGTGTGTAAAGGAATAGATGTGTGTGTGTGTGCGTGTGTGTGCGTGTGTGTGCGTGTACATGTGCGTGTATGTGTGTGTGCGTCTTTTTGCTCTTCATTCCAGGCTGGTCTTGAACTCACTATGTAGCCCAGGCTGGCTTTGAACTCACAGAGGTCCTCCTGCCTCAGCCTATCGAGTGCTGGGATTACAGGTGTGTACCTCCATGCCTGGCTAGAAGGTCCTTGTAAATAGGGAATGGGTCAGTAAGCAATGGACATCCTCTAATACCAAACCAAAAAGCCAGGGCTTGGTTCAAGGCTCGATGGAAAGTTTATGTAGATTTTTGAGACTATAAATCATATTAAGAAATTAGCATTTGGAAGTATATAGGATGGAACAGTGGAAGGCAAAATAGATGGAGAAGAAATAACGTTCCAATTTAAAATGTGTATGTTTTTCTTTGCATATTTACATAGCTTTAATTAGCAGAGTCTTGGCCGTGAGAGATTACACAGGACCTGACTGCCGCTACCTGAACTTCACGAAGGGAGAAGAGATATTTGTTTATATTAAACTTGCTGGGGAAAGAGAAGATTTGTGGGCAGGAAGTGTAAGTATCCCGTCTTCAGAATTCAATGCAGAATAAATGGCCAACTTGCACCAGGATACTGCTTGCCTTCCTTCCTTCCTCTGTTTTGTTTTGTTTCATTTTGCTTGGTTTTGAGATAGTTTCACTATGCTGCTTAAACTAGCCTGAACTTGCAGCGATTTTCTTGCCTCAGCCTGCCTAGTGCTGGGATTACACATGGGCAGCATCGTGCCGGCTCCCTCCCTTCTCCTCTCCCTTCCCTCCTCCTTTCTTCTCCTTTTCCCCTTTCTTTCTCTTCCTTACTGTGTTACTGGGGATCAGACACAGGGGCACTTGTTCATTGAGCTATATCCCCAGCCCCTTTTCTTCCTCTGAGAGAGACGGCTAAATTGCCTAGTTTAGACTTGAATCTGCCATCCTCCTCCTTGGCCTCCCAAAGTCCTGGGATTACAGGTGTGTGGCTCTGTACTCAGCTCTGCTTTTCATCTTTAAAGGAACCCTAAAGTTTTCAAAGCACTGTATAGCTGGGCAAGCTAATGCATATCTGTAATTCCAGCACTTGGGAGGCTAAGGCAGGAGGATCACCATGATTTCAAAGCCAACCTGGGCTAGATAGTGAGTCCAGCCTGAACTGCATAGTGAAACCATGTCAAAAAAAAAAAAAAATCAAAACACTGTGTAAATATTAAAAACCCTTACATTTAAACAAACAAAAATGGTTCATGTGAATTGGTCACTCCAATATTCCTATAAAATTACTTTTGGGAAGTCGTTGAGATGGAGGGCTAAGGGGAAGCCTTGAAATTATTTTTTACATATGGTGCACAGGTTGTGAACTTAGATTTCCTATTTGTTTGGACAGACTTTAGGGGTAAGTGTATAGATTGTGAGATGGTTAAGCAACCCTATCCATCTCTTGGTGTGCCTTGGTCAGGTTTGGGAGAGAACAAGATGTTTGAATTAATCGTATTGAAAAGCATGTCTTTCTGAACAAAGGAAGAGCTGAGAGTTGTTACTGAAGAGATGGTCCGAAAGGTTGGTAGCTGAGGAAAATTTGATGAATTTTCCATTAAAAAACCACACTGTACAGTCAGACTTTGGTCCTTGTCAGCCTCAAGACAGTTCTCAAATGGGGCAGAATCCCACATATTTACCAGTACTGCTTTGTACTTTTGTGCATTTTAAAAATTAAGTTAATTGGTACACGTTAGGTGTACATTTTTTTTCATGTGGCATGATGCTTATATGTATGTTTTTCCAAATCCATTTTATTTCAAGGAGAAAAAGAAAAAAACTAAAACTAAATTACAAAACACGTCAATCAGGGGGCAACAATGGTACATACATTGGACACTGTCATTCCCAAATCATTCATCCAGAGCACAAGACATCTGCATTCAATTGTCTGAACAATGCCAGCACAAATTTTCCTCTTCAATGAACTCAGAGAAATCAGTAGTGTAACCATGTTAGCTATTTTTATAGACATATACATACACATATACATGTGTTGTTACGTTCAGCTTCTCACACTGATGAGACAATAGTGTTCACACATGTGTGTCTTATTTATTTCACTAATGAGTATGTTCTCAAGTTGCGTCCATTTACCCATAAAAGTGTCCAGTTCATTGTCTTTGTGGCTGAATAGTACTCCATTGTATAAAAATACCACATCTTTTTTATCCATTCCTCGGTCGATGGGCATCTAGGTTGTTTCCACGATCTGGCTATTACAAATTGTGTTGTTATAAACATGGGTTCACATATGTAGCTGTGGAATGATGTTTTTAATTCTTTTGGGAAGATACCCAGAAGGGAAATAGCTGGATTAAATGGGACTTCTAGTCGTAGTCTTTTGAGGAATCTGCACACTGATTTCCACAATGATAGCATTAGTCTGCATTCCCGCCAACAGTGGAGAAAGGTTCCTTTTTCTCTACAGCCCCTCCAGCATTTGTTATTGGTTGATTTCTTGATAGTAGCCATTCTTTCTGGGATGAGGTAGAATCCCAGGGTTGTTTTAATTTGCATCTCTCAAATGACCAATGATGTGAAACATTTTTTCACGTATTTATTTGCTGTTTGTGTTTATTCATCTGAAAAATGTTTATTCATCTCAGATGCCCATTCTTGGATTGGGTCTTTAAATCTAGGGGTACTGATTTTTTTGAGTTCTTTATATGTTCTCAATAGTAATCCTTTGTTTGAGGTACAGCTGACAAACATTTCCTCCCACATTGTGGGTTGTCTTTTACTTATTTTTATTTTTTTTGAGACAGGGTCTCACTATGCAGGCCTTGAGCTCACTTTTGTAGCCTCGGCTGGTCTCTGCCTTGCAACAATCTCCTGAGTGCTAGAATTACAGATGTGAGCCACCACACCCCACACAAAGCTTTTTATTAAAATGAGATCTCAGTTGTTTATTCTTTGTAGCATTTCCCATGTAATTGAGGTTTTATTCATGAAACCTTTGCCTATACCTATATCTTTGAGTGTTCTATCTATCCTCTCTTCTAGCAGATTTAGTGTTTATGTATTAATATTTATCTTTTTATCCATTTTGATTTTAGTTTAATGCATGATGATAGACTTGGGGTCTATTTTTAGCCTTGGCATGTGAAAAGCCAGTTTTCCACCACCATTTATTAAAAAGGCTTTCTTCCAGTGCATATGTTTGGCCCTTTTGTCATGACTAATGTGGCTGAGTGTTTTTGGAGCTGTTTCTGCTTCTTCTAATCTGTTCCATTGACCTTCAGGTCTGCTTTGTTTTGCCAGTACTATGCTGATTTTATCACAGTATCTCCACAGTATAATTTCAAATCAGGGATTGTGATTCTCCTGCCTTGCCTTTATTGCCCAGAATTGTTTTTGATACTCTAGGTTCTTCTGGTTCCAGATGAATTTTAGGAATGATTTCTCTAGTTCTGTGAGGTATGTTGATGGTATTTTGATTGGAATTGCATTAAATCTATACAGCAATTTTGGAAATATGGCCATTTTCACGATGTTAGTTCTTCCTACCCAAGAGCAAGAGATATCTCTCCATTTTCTGATGTCTTCTTCAATTGTCTTTTTTTTTTTTAATTTTTTTTTTTTTTTTTTTTGTCTTTTTCCTTTTTATCAGTACCGGGGATCGAACTCACGACCGCCTGCTTGCAAGGCAGGCGCTTATGCCGCTGAGCTAAACAATTGTCTTTTTAAGAGTACTTTATTTTTCAGTATAGAGATCTTTTACATTACATTCATTACATTAATTCTAGGTATTTCATTTTTTTGGATGTTATTGTGAAAGGCGTGGTTTCCCTAATTCCTCTCTCAGTGAATGTAATTTGTGTACAGAAATGCTATTGATTTTTGAGTGTTGATTTTGTACTGGATACATGATTGAATTCTTTTTCATACCCGGAATCAAACTCACAACCTCACGCTTCCCAGGCAGGCGTTGTGCCTCTGAGCTACACCCCTGGCTCAAAGCTTGATTTCCATTTTATCCTGTGTGTGTGTGTTTTATCTGACAGCTTGTTTGGCGGTTCTAGCAGGGAGCAAAGGTCCTCCTCTAAGGGGGTGGTTGTCTTCTTCCACCAAGCGTCAGCTTCGGGAGGGCCGCACATGGATGTTGAGGGAGGACGGGACACCGGCCTAGCCTGCCAGATCAGCTGAATCAACCCTGGCGATCAATGGGGTGACAGATATCGTAGCCAGATGGCCCTCACATCCATGTGTGGATGTTTGCTGTTTTACTTGTACCGGGTATCGAACTCACGACCTCATGCTTGCCAGGCAGACCCCATGCTGATAAGCTATCTCCCCGGTGCCCGAATTTGTTTATTAAATCTATAAGTTTTTTGGCAGAGTTTTTGCAGTCTTCTATGTAGAGTATCATGTCATCTACAACTAACGATAGTTTAGTTTTTCTTATCTTTATGCCTTTTATTGTTTTCTCTTTTCAAGTTGTTCTGGCTGATATTTCTAGATCTATATTGAATAGGAGGAGTCATCAGAGTAGACATCCTCGTGTTGTTTCTAATTTTAGAGTGAAGGCTTTCAGTTTTTGATGTTGGCTGTTGGTTTATCATAAAAGGCGTTTATCAGTTTGAGATAAAAACCATCTATTTCAATTTTCAGTAGGATTTTTATCATGAAGTGGGTGTTGGTCTTTGTCAAATGCTTTTTCTGTCTATTGAGAGATCATGGGACTTTTACCTAAATTTCTTGTGAAAATCAGCAGTGACTCATCAGCATTCGTGGTTTTCTTTTTGATGTTTTAATTAAATGTTTTATTTTATTGACTGCTATTGAGTTATTTAGAATTTTTCTATCTTCTTGATTCTACTTTCGTAATTCATATGTATCTAGCAATCTGTCCATTTTTTCTGCATTTTTCCATCTCACTGAAGTTTCTCAAAGTAGGCATTGTGCATTTTAAAGTACTAATAATGGGTCACAAAAAGGTTAAGAAATAAATCGCTAAGAATAAAAGGGTAAAAAAATGGCTAATATTAGCCCAGTAATATAATTATTTCTAATTATACTTTTTTTTAATTAACATGGTTTTTTTTTGTTTTTGTTTTTTGTTTTTTTTTTTTTTTGAGACAGGGTCTCGCTATGCAGTTCATGCTGGCCTTGAGCTCACTTTGTAGCCCAGGCTGGTCTTGAACTCGCATTGATCCTCCTGCCTCAGCCTCCCAAGTGCTGGGATTACAGGCATGCGCCACCACGCCGGCCCATTAGTATTTTTATTAAGACATGTTTGCAGTACATATTGATTGCATTCCTCATGGAAAGTTGGCACATGTGCTGAATACATCTTAATTCTTTTTTCTTAATTTTTTTTTTTATCTCTTTCACTTTTCTTCCCTCCATCTCTTGGTTCCCTTCCCCTGTATAAAAGATACCAGGGATGTGTAGCCTTTGGGAGGTTGAGGCAGGGGAATTGCTGTGAGTTAGAGCCCAGTCTGGGCTACAGAGTGAGTTCTAGGCCAGCCTGCACTGCATAACTGCGTAGTGAGACACTGCCA